CCACGCCGAGAGAGGTGGAGACTATGTCAAGATTGGTTAAAATATTGGATGAACAAAATCAATCGACGGTCAAATAACTCGGATGTGTACACTCACCGTTATTTGATATATGAATGTATGGTCATTCAAGTAGTATAAGCCAAGTTCCAATGGGTTCCTCATCGGATAGAGATCATGCGTCATTATATAAATAGAAGAACCACAACAGAATTAATAAATGGTACATAATTTATGAAACAAGTCAAAATTTACAATAAATGGATTCCAGGATTCTTGTAATATTGAACTTTAGTTAATAATATATTTTTTGTTAATTTTAATCAAGCCAATGCAAAAACAATTGTATTTAATAAAAAAATTTTTTCATTATGCAAACTTGTTCATAAGCTAATTAATAATACACTTGTCAATAACAATGTCCTTAGATGCAATCTTGAAAATGAATCATGACTTATTAACAAGAATTACTGTATATTTATTTATATTATTATCTTTTTTTGGATTGAAATCTTATTTATTAATTATGTAATTAAAGAATAATCTTTTTTATTTAATCAATTCTCATGTTTTTTTTTTATCATGGTGATTTGAGATTTTGCTTAAAATTCAAGAGATTAAAAAACAAAGGAATTTTGTGATTTGAAAATGGTTAAATTACCTTTTATCAAAAATTTTATAATATATGCTGTGTATATAAACAATAAAATTTTGCAATAATACTTTTGCTAGTTTCCTTACTAACTTCAATCATATACTGTAACTACATAGGTGCAATCTCACCATACTGTATCATTCATACTTTATGCTCCATACACCTCAGATTATTGGTTTGTTTTTTTATTTAAGATGTAATTAATAAAATGTCGAATTTTAAGTAGTGAGTGATTGATAAAAAAATTTGGGTTTATGTTGTTTAATAATATTAATTAGAGAATAAGTTTATTATAAGATGCTGTACGCGGTTGGATAATAAATTCTAAATAATATACAAATATGAGTGATTTAAGTGACCATAATTTTTTATACACTGATTGTAAACCCGGATTCGTTTTCTGGTAATTTCAATTAATGCCATCTCTCATGAATATTCCACAGTCTCTTATTACCCCCCTCCAAAATCCTCCTCCGAAAATCTTTAATCCTCTTAGTGAAGGTACTCGAAGTACGAGCACAGCCTTTTGGGCCACTTACAAACCACGTGGCATTTATCAACATCAACTTATCCGCAATGCCTTGTATCCCGGATTCTCTGAACTCATCCATCAAGCCTTCATCCATAGGCAAATAGCCCAACACATTGGTCGAAACCCACGTGTGCATACGTTTACTCTCGTTCAAATATTTTGTTAATATCCCAAATGCCTCGTGGTGTTTTGGACCTAAATCTCGGAATGTTGATGATTGTGCTTTGTGTGACTTCGATCCAAGTAAAGGGTAATCGGTGGCCAAATATACATTCTCAATGCTGGTGTGATCTTTGAGAGATTTTAGGTACTTGACCAATCGACGTGCACATTTCGGCATCATTTTCGGATTACCTTGTTCCATACGCCAATGTATTCCCACATACGGTCGAATGAAATCCGAGACGTTGGCTGCAGATTGAACTAACTTTTCGGCATAAGGTATGGGTGGAACTTTTTCTGGGTCTTTAAATAACAATTTAGGCAACCTATGTTCTAATAATAACACCTCTTTGGTGATGTTCAGTTGTTGCAACATGAATTTTGTCACCGCTATATCCATTTCCGACTGTGTCCATAGAAAATTTACACCCAGGAATATTTTTTTGAATACAGTTTTATGATTTAACACGAATTTAAACTGCTTTAGGCATTCACGTCCCTTTAATAATCTGGGATAGGGTTTTAGGTATTCGACTTTGAACGGATTGTCACGTGGTTGAATCCAACTCCAGTAGGTTTCGGGCTTTCTCTTGCGATCGATGGTCCATTGCCGAAAATCCGATTGGGTGATCATGCGAACGTTGGGAAATCTATGACGGAATTCGTCGACGTTGAAGTAGAAGCTGAATGGGTGTTTTCTACAAGCTTGTATGCGAGAGTTACCTACGTTGGTAAGCACAAGAGTTCTGTTGAGACGTTCAGCAATTTGGGCAAAGGACATGAAATGCATGTTTGCTTGTGATTCTTGTTCTGTAGGCTGTATTAATAGTCGTATAAAAACCATGATGAAATTATTGCATCTCGTAAAGCGGAATGTAAAAATGATACAAAATAGAATACACACGTGATAAGCAAACAAGAATCGACAATTTTCCTCACCACAATACCGCTTGTTGATTCTTTTATCATGTTCATCCAGTATTATTTCAGTGGTGTTTATGGATTTGATTGGGTTCGCGTTTGTATTTTCAGGTAGCGTCTATAGAAATTTTTAAGAGATGCATTCAACTTTAACTTTAGAATTCGCAATCACTTTACGCACTGTAATTAGGATATTCAGCAATTAGCTGGTCCTCTCCTACATACAATTAATCGTACTTACAACGTCTTGATTATCCACATTCTCATTTCTCGATACATAAGCAAAGTTTATTAATATATTAATGATGATTAACGACAAGAAGATGAATATATTAAGTCGTTTGAACCACAAATAGGCGTATAGATATTCCGTAGGTTTTCTTTCATTCATATCTTTTGTTTAGAATGGAAAGATATGGGCCGAGTAAATATGGATGACGTGTTTATTTAAGAAAATAAAGATAACGAAGAGTATTCCTTTAGTCATGGTTTATATACTTATTCAAAAGGTTACTGAATTAATGATATACGATCGTTAATCTAATGTATGCACATATAATTACAAACAGGAGTAAACGATGGCAATTTTGTTAGAAAGGTAAGGTACGCTTCATTTTCGATTCTATAATAGTATAGGAATTTCATTATCGTTTATATGACATCCAAATAAGCACTATTCGATAGATTTCTTTATAAGGTAAAATAATTCCTTTAATCTTACACATTGAAAACAGGAAAAATATTAATTATCCTGGCTGATGCGCTTACTATGTTTTACTCCCTAAATTCATGACCAAGCTTGGTCCCAAGTAGGGATGTAAAGTAACGATTGGAACCGGTTCTTTTTGAATTGATATTCGGTTTTTTATACAATATATGATCACTTT